TCGAAACGACTTCTGAAACATAAGGATTGCCGGATTACCACAAGAATCAAGCACAGAACTAGCACTCATGCTCTTACTCGTAATACTTTACAGGATTGTTGTGAGGAAACCTAAGCCCAACTATCACTTGCACTAAACCAAAAAAACTCCGCCTCACAACAGTCCTTTCTGTAAACTTAAACCTTAAACAACCCCAAACCCTACAAAGCCTAAGTCCTCAACAAACCCAAACCCTTAACCCACGACAACGTCCAACCCTCAACTTAAACGACCCCAAATCTTAAACCCCAAACAACCCCGAACCTCCTAGCCCCTTAACTACCCTACACGGTCAGGGTACAGGGTCCGGGTAAGGGTCCCCGTGCTCTTGCGGGCCTGGGGGGTCGGAAACGTTGCATTATGAGAGCTTCTGGCACAGCACAAGCCATGCCTCTCAAACCTCAAGACTGCACATGAATGGTTTCGAGATCTTGCATTCGAGATCTGGCATTCGCATTCGAAAGCGGAGCGAAGCAAATTCGAACTTCAGCACTCTCACTCACAAACAATCTCGGACCACCCATGAAGGACCTGCCTGCTTTCTGTTCCTGCTAAGGAGCTGGGTCCAGGCGTTCAACGACACGATCTTGCTGAACTTCTTTGGGTCCAGGAGAGAGTTCTGAACCTCGCTGCGTGGGTTGTCAATTTTTCTGACCGCTAACAGCCGGTGCTCTATGGTCCGATGCCTCCTCCTCGGTCTCAGCTGTCTCTTCAAACTCTTTCTTCAGAAACAGGGCATAGCCTGCCATGCCAGGCTCTCAAGATCACCTTGGCCCACCGCTTCCGAACAAAGCCTGCTGCACTCTCGTAGAGCAAGTATGTCGTCATTCGGGTGGCCTCCATAGGTGGCGCAAGAAGCCACCACGACTTACATCGACTCCCAGATAGCTCAGTGCAACAACAGTCCTCAGTCCCTGTCCGCGGCCTCCGCGAGGCGCGGCGCATTAGGCTCAGGCAATGTCTCCGAGCCACTTCAAAAGCAGCAGCAGTCAGAGTAAGTAGAAACTGCACCGCATAAATCACACTGGCACACACAGGAGCTCACCGGGTCTTGCTTTCAAGCTGAACTGAGGGAGCCATGCGCAACAACCTGAGTTCAGTACCCACCCGGGAAGTGGAAGGAACCGCTGTCCCAGGTCTTTTGGCCACGGGTTTGGCCTGCATAAGATTAGCCATATTTGTTTGACGAAGCTCCACCTGACTTGGCCAAATTTACATCTGCTCCGGACTGAACTCCGATTTCGAGCTTGAATCCGCCTCGCGCAATTCGTCTGAGGACTCTCCGCCTCGGACTGATTGCAGTGGATGCTGCAACCAATCACGGGTTCCAGAAGCGAATGTTGCTGCTGCAGACATGGGAGTACTGTGACCCTTGCCCAAATCATCTTGCGCAGCCGCACAGAGGGGCTTCTTCCTCGGATGTGCACGTTCATGCCCTTACGATCCTCCGTATGCATCTTACGTGAGACCCCTTGACACGGCCGCTCCCACATCTCCCACATAATCGCGCGGCTTCATCCTTTCGGTCCAGGACGGGACCCAAGGGCCAGGAGCCTCGGCCTCAGCTGAATCGCCTGAGCTTAGCAAGCCTTTCAGTTACGACTCAGGCAGGAACCTCTGCGCCTAACCTTGCTGCGTCTCACTTGAGCCATGCTGTTCATACACAAGAGGCAACTTCTGGTGGAACTTGACTGGTAAGGGATTTTCTTGCTAGGCACCGAGACGAAAAAATGACTCTCTCCGCCGTGAGGCATGTGTGCATGCTAACCTTTTCTAATTTCGCTTCCCGCAACTGCACGCAACTGCAACGGGAGGCTCTTATGAGTGAGACGATGTTGTGACATCCATCTGGCAGGGTTGAAAACTGCTGCTCGCCAAGTCTCAACATGCAAGTCAGCAAAAAGTAAGATTCGGTCGGTCTCTCACAGAAATGGAAGTCACAACCACGCGCATTGCCTGCGCCTACTCAGCGCTGCGGCAAAGCAGCACTTCGCACGAACATGCAAGCGGGAATGCATGCTTTAAGCATGTTTTCATAGGCTTGCCACTGTTTCCCTTTGGTTGTCAAGGTTGTTCTTAAGCAGCGCTTTTTTCTAAGAACACTTGTGATGGCAGGTCGCACAACCTTGCCTCTTTTGCAAAGTTACAACCTTGCCCGAAACTACATTTTTCAAACATGCAGAGTCATGGTCTTTGCTGCCGCGTTTGCGAAGCGCAAATGTGAGCACTAATGAATAGCACATGGCAAACGGAATCCTGAAATCAGAAAATGTGCGCAAAACTCTTGGGTAATTTCTTGTATCGGCAACAGCACTGGCCAGCCAAACTTGCGACCACGGGCTATACATACAGGCACGTGCCTGCATGCATTAATTGCGGAATGTTTCAGAGGATCGCGCACACCTCAGAGACTATGTCTCACACATGTCTCACTGTCCCTATGGATCAAACCTACCACATATACAACAGCGCATGCACAACTGCACGGACCTAGGACATCTTTCGAAACCTGCCACGGGACCGAGCTCCGTTGCGAAGTAGTGGCGCGCTCGCTCATTTTAAGATTTTGTCGTTGATACCAAGCAGCTATTGCTTGATTCCTCGGATGTTAAGGCAAAACTGCTCTAGCGAAGCAAAGCTTTTAGCTTCAAACCACGGGACAACTCCATCTTCGATATCGTGCCGTCTCGCAGAATGTCTGCACGATCGAGCACGAAATCCTTAACAATGAGGTTCAAATGCATTGATGCTAAGCAAACCTGCAATGATAACCGAATGGGACTGGTCGGGGGAGAGCACACGTGTTGCTGCAGTCGTTTCGCCAGGATACCAAGTCCTCCTCTGTCACCTCCTACGTCATGGAACTTTTGCGGATGCCACCCTCCTTCTATCGCTGTGTTTACAATTTAGAAAGCAAGCCACGCCTCCTCGGCACTCTCTGCACTGAGCTCTTCGAGAAGTGCCTAAAGCATGGCTCTGTCACACCAGGTCTGGCATCAAAAGAGGATGTTGAAGCTGATTACTCCGTGACCTACTCAAGTCGGGTACCTTGAGCTGCTTCCGGTCAAGCTTTCCAGTGCCCTCGGGGTCAAATTTCCTGAGGATCACCCAAACCAGCGCAAATGAAGGAGCACCACGATGCGAAGTGTGTTTTGCATCTGTCCTCTTGTTCTTGCCTCTGTTACCCTCAGAATTTCTGCGCCATCACAACATGAACAAAAACAGGTGAAAACAGCCGGCACAAACGAGATTTGAGGCGTGCTGCCCTGCAAAAAGCAACTAGTCATAATTCATCTGCGCGCTTTCCGAACCATGCGCGGCTTTGCCAGTAGCACATGCAGTGCAGGGTTTAGGCTTCTCTTTCTCATGAGCACGGAAGGGCGTTCATGCAATCACGGCCAACAAATCACGGAGGCAAGACCTTCTGACTGCCTGCTACACTGCGGCAGGCAAATTCAACCAGACAGCGATTAAAACCTGACCTTCGCTTTTACTTGGAACACAGCCCCACAAAAGGGTTGAATTTGCTAAGTGAGTGGACTTTGCGGTACGAACAGCCCTTTCTCTCTCACCAGCCCTGCATGCAACGAAAGTCTGTACCCCTTGCCATACGTGCTGAGAGAAAAGAAAAGGAACAGCCAGGGCTTCTGCATTCAGGGTTAGAAGGCATCAGGGAACCACAGAAATCCTGACAAAACAAACTATCTGCTCTCTCAAGCTCTTAAACAGGATGACGCCCATGCTCTTGTCATCCGCAAACCTTGGGAGGCAAAACAAGCCTGGAGTATCAAGTGGCAAAATCCTGGAGGATGACCCTTGACCTCAGCATCCAGCGAGGATTGGTATATTCGCCAGCAGGTCACAGCAGACATGAGATTGTCTCGGCCGATCTCGAGACTTCTGGTGTCCTTGGCAAGTGCAAACCACATCGCGAGGAGCAAAGATCTGCTGCTCTCACTCTCTCCCTTTCTCCATTTGTGGTCCGCTGAGCCGCTGCTCTGGCTTTGCCCGGCTGTACCGACCCGTCGCCTGCTGAAACTTCGTTAGTCCGACATATCACATGAATTTCTTAAGCCGTGGACCCGCACGATGTCAAGAAAGCCAGCCCAAGCCTCCTGCCATTTTCATGACAAATGTGAGCTCCTCCTCTGTCGGCTGCTGGCCCTGCAGGCGTTGATTGCAAAGGCAATCCTTTGTCAACCACACAAGACCATCATCTCATCAGCCCTGTGCAACAGCAACAAGCTTGACTTCGCCACACACCCATGCCCAGGCGACAATCAACAGCTAGACACCATGGCCGTAGCTGGCCTTGTTGAGCTGCTGCAACAAACTTCGGACTTCAGATCGGTCCAACGAACCACTGCCGTTGTCCTGACGGTCTGCCAGACTGCATCTGCAAGCCCTGCTATTGAGGCGCAATGACAAAAAAAGCTGCTGCGTCTGTGCATTCGCAGCAAATGCCCTAATAGACTGTTCAGCTCAGGATCGTCCAGGCGTTCAAAGATTTCTCGCACAGTCTCATTTCTCTGCTCTTGTGCTATATTCTGCGCATCATCACCTGAGTGATGAGCATGCGAAACAAGAACACAAATGCAAACTGCGTGCTAATTTGCAGCGTAAGTGGCGTAATTCAGCTACTTTCTGTGCGACCACGGCCGCCGACATGCAGTGGGCCGAACAAAAGGAGGCATCAAGTAACCATCATTGCGCTCGAGCCAGAAGACTTCTGCATACGAAGGCAACAGATGCAATCCTGCAGCTGATCAGCTAGCACAAGCAAGGACTACAGCACCCATCGAAGGCCAAGGCTTGCTGGTCATTCTTTTTCAGATGGCGATCAAGTCAATTTGCTGGACTCTTTGTAGTACCTGGGTGGACTGCATGAAATCGATTGTGATGCACACATCCCAAACCGTTGCAAAGCTCAAGGGCGTGGGTCCAGCTGAGGCGCATGATGTACTCAGGGTAGATCTGCGACGTGTCATACACAACAAACTCCCTCGTGTCAGTAGAACCCAAGATAGAATCCTTGGCTGCAAGCTGTCAGCCGGGTCCAAAGGACAGCGTGCAAGGCAACGCCAACAAGTCCCCCTTAATAGTCGGAAGCGGCCACGCTTGGATCATCAGCAAAACGATCAGCGCTCCGATCTTGGCCCGGTGGCAATTTCTTGACATTGCCAAGGGCGACTCTGCACAACAGCATAATTTTGCAATCATCTTCCTTGACTGCGAAGCTGCATCTAAGTTTTTTGACGTGCCAAGTGGCACTGTGCAGCCTTCTGCAAAGGCGAAGCATCCCAGTTCAAGTAGTTATCAGCAAAACCCATCACGTTCTAAACATAGATGCGGGTCAAGCGACTGTGCGGCCTTTTGCATATTGGTTGCTTTTTTTCGCGTCGTCTGCGAAGTAAATACCAGAGCCAAAGCATCCACCACTGCTGGGTAGAAAGTTGCTTCTAGAAATTGCTCTGGCTGCCTCTTCCGACGTACCTGCACGGAGCAAAAAATCCTGGCCGTAGCTCGAAGAAAGACAAGCGCAAAGCGTATTGCTCCACTTTGGATGGACATGCAATCTTCGAAGACAAGCTGCCATGTAGCAACCACACTTCATTTACCTTGTGGTCCAATGTGGTATTGGCTGAGTATTGGATGCTGCGAGCCGTCTCCTATAGCCATGGTGCAACTTCACGACACAAGTCAAAACTCTCACCGCCTAAATGCGGAATGCACATTGCATCATGCGTCAAAGCATCAGGTTCGACGTCTGCACAGGCTACGCACTGTTCGCGGAGCCTGAACACACAAAAAACGCCGAAGGCTTAATTGACAGCGCCTAAGTCGTGTAAACATTTTGTTGTTGCCATGCAGCTGCGCCCGTTTGGCCGCATACCTTTCCCATAGGAGTGCATCTTCTATCCGCTGGCACTGCACAACTTCCCAATCTTCAAGTCTTCTTTGCAGAATCTTCGTGCCCATCCTTGATGTAACATCCATGGTACATGATTGTACGGAATTCTGTTTGCAACTTAGGCTTTCAGCAATACCGAAGAGTCTCTCTTTGACATACGCCCCGCCGATCTCTTCATGAAAATTTTCTGGCCATACCTCGACCGATTTCCAATACCATGGAGGGCAAACGGCCTCATTGGCACCTGTAGTTCATGTCAACTTGCTGATACGGACAGAAATTGCATGACGACCCTATGTTTTCGAAAAAACACATGTGCCAGGGAGCGGATGTCACAATCGATGTCGTGGCCACAAATTCCGCGTTCTTTTTTGAGATATGCCTGTACCAGACATAAAACAGAACGCCGGCCCACCCGTCATCACAACATGCGTTGCACAGACAAGCTGCACAGCTTTTGCAGCAAGTGAGAAACACCTCAGATGGATCGATTTGACAATCCTACTGGTCGCTTGCGTCACGTGCGTCCGGGACAGCAGCTTAAAAGCAGCAAATGCAAAAATTCACCAATGAACTCTTGGCGCAAAAACCAAAACCTCAACAGCTGTTTCAGCTCGGACTTAAACCTTTTGGGAATCTTTAAATGCAAAGCTTTCGAATGCTAATTGCGCACCTCAAGTTTGCAGCGACGTTTTAAATACCACCATGGCAGGATTGCTGTTTGAAATGAATTACTGTCACGTTCCACATACACCACGCGCGGGTCCGTTTAGACGTCAGCAGCCCCACGAAAACGCTTCAGCAGCTGGCGAAACCAAAAAAAATGCTAGCTAAGCTTGTCTCAGCTTCTCGCGTGCAGAAGTTAACGCTAGAGGAATTGTAGGTGGCAGACAGGTCGTTCAGCGCGAACGGAGGCCCAGCTGCTATTGTGAGGCAGTTTTGGGGTGGAGGCGGCATGGCTCGGGCATCCTTTGCCGTAGCTAAAAATTACGACTGTGGGGGAGCTGGCGGCCTTGTCTGGCCACGCCAGCTTTTGGATTTCCTACCCCGGGCTTGGCAGAGGGCGCAGCACTGGACCGTGGCAGAACGCTGGCAGCTTCAGCGTGTACGAACAGCGCGTTGTCTGCTCTGATGTTTGCCGCGCACAAGTTTTGATGGTGGCCTCTTTGGACAACCCCTGCCGTGGGTCGTGGCGTAATGGAAGTCAACAAACAAAGTGGGAACATGGAAGTCAACAAGAAAGTGGAAACGGCCACCCACCCGAGAAACATTTCTTCTGCTTTTGCAAATTGCCCCTGCCTTTTGATGGCTGTGCGCGCGTCAGAGCAGGCAGTGTCTCGGACTGTATCAGGAACGATCAGCTACTAATTTGTGAGTTGCTGGTGATTCATGCCAACTTGCGTGCTGGCCGCAGACGCCTAGACAATGCATGTCTCCAAAATCAGAGTAGACGGCAGTTCTATCGGTAGCTGGGACCTAGAAATCTAAGACCCAATTGCGGACCTGGTTTGGAGCTGCCTTCGTTTCGGGTTCACCGCCGTAGGGACATAGTTTGCTAAGAGGCCTGTCAAAATCACGAATCATCAGCACTTTTTGCTGTCGCGCGCCTGCTGCGGTCCAATGTCAACATTTGCATGTTGGGCCAGCTGAGGCAGTGTTTTACCAGCTACACTGCCCTCAGTTTGGACCTGGCCCAAATGTTTACATTACATAGTTTGAAGTGCAATTGATCTATTGGGAAATCAGCTTTACATTCAGAGTTTTGCGCGCTTGCCAAGGGCACCATCGCTATGCTGGAGAGTGCCTGATAGATCCAAAGCTGAAAAGCCACATTAACTACCCCTGCCCATGTGGGGTCTAATTGAAGGAAAACTTTACACTCCATGATGCAAATTGCAGTGAAATAATTTTCCCTCCCTGAAACCCCAAAACGTTTATAGATTTTGGCGTGCCCACACCAAACATGTATGCACTTTTCGGTCCAAAAAAATAAAGGACCGGAGAACACCACATGTGCAATTTAACTTGAGTCTTTGTGATATCACATCAGGATGGCGTCGCCCCCCGAACTAAGAAGATATGTGTAAAGAGAAAATGAGAAGACGAAACGATAATCTGGACCGAAGCGAAGCGCGTGTTGCGCGAGCGCGAAGGAGAACATGTTCTTCTTTTATATGACAACAAGATCGAAGTCTGATTCAGGAGCGAGTTGTCCCGTAAACCCTAAATCCAAAACCCTTAACGTCACTTTTGGACTCGCGTTGGATCTTCGCGTCTCAAAAGTGTCAACAGTCACAGGGATCAGAGGGGTCCTGGTCGCAAAACGCAGAACTGTCGTCGCTTTTGGACTCGGGTTGGGTCTTCGCGTCTCAAAAGTGTCAACAGTCACAGGGATCAAGGGGGTCCTGGTCGCGAAACGCAGAACTGTCGGCACTTTTGGACTTGCGTTTGATCTTCGCATCTCAAAAGTGTCAACAGTCACAGGGATCAGAGGGGTCCTGGTCGCAAAACGCAGAAGTGTCGTCATGTTTGGACTCAGTTTGCGTCTTCGCGTCTCAAAAGTGTCAACAGTCACAGGGATCGAGGGGGTCCTGGTCGCGAAACACAGCAGATTTTACGCCAGGGTTTGAAAATGTTGAATTCTGTCTAACGCGTGAAACGGACGGCTCCTACCCTAGGCCCTACCCGCGACGCCCCAGCTCCCTCAGTTCGGCTTCGGGTGGGGGAATGGCCCGCGACCCCCAGCTTGCCCGCGAGGCTGATGGCCGCGAGCCACTTCTGATGCATGGCGGGGCCCGCCCAGCGTGCGTACACGGGTTGCTGCTCGGCAGCGTGCTGCCAGGCAGTGCGGAGGAGGCGCACGGCGTTGGGTCCAAGTCTGCCGAACGTCTCCACCGCGAGCGGCTCAACGGCCTCAAGGCCTGCGGACGCGACGGCTGGGTAGCGCGAGCGCTTACCGGTCTCGGCAAGACGAAGCGCGGCCCCGTCCTGAACAGCTGCCTGGCGAACGTACTTGTCCGCGCAGGGGTGCCGAATGGTGACGTCCGCATAGCGTTCGCAGCCGGCCCAAGCGAACGAGCCGCGCCCGCGTGCCGTCAGTGCGGCACCAGCCCGGCACCTCGACCTCGTGGGCGGGCACACTGGCCCCGGATTCGCGGAGCAATGCCCGCAGTTCGTGGACAATACGGGAGTGGCGGTATGTTTTAAAACCCCCGTACTTGCACACGACTGCGTGAAGGGCTGCGCGCAACACCCGCCCGCGGCCTGGCAACGGATGTGGCATGTTTGGCCTGGCGAGGTAGTGGCTACGCCCAGGCGCCAGCGCGAGGCGTGGCAGAAGGCCCCATCCAAGACCTCTGTGCGCCAACCTCCCGCGCCGGACAGATGAGGAACTGCCCCGCACCCTCGCCTCCACAGGAACGGACCCGGGCAGCGTCGCTCGGCTCGAGTTCCGCAAGCAGGCGTTCCCGGGCTGCAACGGCGACAGCCGCTGAAATCACGCGCTAGCCGCGCCGTGGTGCCGCAGCGCAGGCCCCCAGTTCGGCAGCTTGCTGTCTGGCACCCCGCAGGCCCGCAGGGCGTCATGGGCTTGCAAGAGCGCCGACGCGACAGGGTGCGACCTATCACCAGCTTGCAATGCGTTTGTGACACTGTAGGCGTCCGCGTCCGGCAGCCGTGCTAGGACGGGCGCAAGGCACAGCGCCCAGCTAGAAGCGAAGGCGCCGCCATGTTTGAGCAACAGTCCCCCCACACCGCACCCACCTTGTCGCACTGGCAGCGAGAGCTGTTCGAGCTGGGTGGGGTTGAGTGGCCCGAGCTCAGTAAGGCTGGAGAATGCGGCCTGCAAGGTCGCATCCATCAGCGCTGGCCTGGCGCGGAGGAGGTGGAGGAGCTTTGGTTCAATGCACAAGCGCAACATGAGCTGGCACAGCTGCGCGGCGTTGAGGATTGCCTCGCCTTGCGCTTGTCCAGCCTCTGTACGTCGCGAGTGGGCGTGCTGGACCTTGGCAAGCAGCACGCTGCAGGCATCTGCAGCTGCCTGCCAGTGTTGTTGCGCGGCATGGCGGGAGCCAAGGGTGGTGCCGGCGTGGAGGAAGTCCTCCGCGGGGTTGCTCCCTCCTTCTACCGGACTGCCGAGGAAGACAAAGCCTTCCTCCATCCATTGTAGGCCAGCTGGCATGTCTCGCTGGCAAGGAGCTCGCGGACTCCACGCCACTGTCTTGTGCGCAGCGAGCCTAAGGCCCGCCCCGGCGCAGCCTGGGAGCCCGTCGCCAACGGCAAGCTCACTGAGATGGCACGCCTAGGGTTTAGGGTTTACGCTTCAGGGGTTTTGGATGTAGAGTTTGGGGGTTTAGGGCTTTTGGAGGAGGGTTTAGGGTCTAGAGGGGTTTGGATTTACGGTTGGGGCTTAGGGGTTTTGGATTTAGCATTTAGGGTTGGGGGCTTTTGGATTTAGGGTTTGGAGTTAAGGGGTTTTGGATTTAGGGTTTAGGATTTAGGGGTTTTGGATTTAGGGTTTTGGGTTTGGGATTTAGGGTTTAAGGCTTTTGAATTGAAGGTTTAGGGTTTAGGGCTTAGGGGGTTTCGGATCTAGGTTTTTGGATTTAGGGTTGAGGGTTTTGAATTTTGGGTTTGGGGTTAAGGGGTTTTGGATTTAGGGTTTAGGAGTGTAGGGGTTTAGGGTCAAGATTTAGGGTTTAGGAATGTAGGGTTTTAGGGCTAGGGGTTTAGGAGTTTTGGATTTAAGGTTTAGGGGTTCAGGGGTTCAGGGGGTCTTGGATTTAGGGTTTAGGGTTTCGGGGTTTTGGATTTAGGGTTTAGGGTTTAGGATTTAAGAGTTTTGGATTTAGGGTTTAGGGGTTTTGGATTTAGCGTTTAGGGTTGGGGGTTTTTGGATTTAGGGTTTGGGGTTAAGGGGTTTTGGATTTAGGGTTTGGGATTTAAGGGTTTTGGATGTAGAGTTTGGGGTTTTGGATTTAGGGTTTAAGGCTTTTGAATTTTGGGTTTAGGGCTTAGGGGGTTTCGGATCTAGGGGTTTTGGACTTAGGGTTTGGGGTTTTGGATTTAGGGTTTAGGGTTTTGAATTTTGGGAGGGGTTTAGGGTCAAGGGGTTTTGGATTTAGGGTTTAGGAGTGTAGGGTTACAGGGTTAGGGGTTTAGGGGTTTTGGACTTGGGGGTTAAGGGGTTCAGGGATGGGTTTTGGATTTAGGGTTTAGGGTTTAGGATTTAAGAGTTTTGGATTCAGGGCTTAGGGGTTTTGGATTTAAAAACGAGGTTACCACCCTACGCTTCACTACCTGTGATCTGCAAGCTTCCACTCAGCCCCTCAGTTGAACAAGCAGGCAGAAGGTTTGCTGGCTGCAGCATGACGCCAATCAACA